AAATTTGAATGAAAAGTGCAGAAGTTAAATTATATTCGATTGGAAAACCTGATTTAAATTATGGCTGGAAAATGAAAAGTGAACCTGGAGTAGCATTTAAACGGTTAATACCATTTTAAATATAGGTGTTCCTTTCCTAAAAGTACAGTTAGATAGAGGAAATTTTTTACATCACCATGCAATTATCTGGTAGCAAAGTCAACCAAACAACGATTTAATCGGGGTGAGTCTCTCGCACGCATCCGCAAAAATCAAGGCATTCACAAGTTTGCACTTCTTAACAAATTTACCCCTTTCTTGAATAAAACTATTGGTCTCGAAAGATTTTCAGACCAGGTTTGCCTTTCTTTTTATCCATGGCCTCCGTCGATGCAAAGTTCCCTTCCAGTTTAACCGCGACTTTTTCATTTCCGGTCCTATTGGAGTGCACTATTTGGCACTTAAAACATTTAAATGAAAACTAAAAAAACTAAGTAATACTCGATTAAAAAAAAATGGACATCTTACTTTTCGAGCAACATAATTGGCTTTGGAGTTAACGATAGTTCGATTCCAAAATTTTAAACGTAAAACGAACTACGGCTGGAAAATGAAAACGTAGCTTAAAGTAGTTTTTACAATGATAAATACGAGTGTTTATTTCCTTAAAGTATTGTTAAATAGAGATATTTGCTAAAAGACCCTCCTCCTTTTAAAAATTTCAATACATCGCCACGCACTTTTCTGGTCGTAAAGTCTAGTAAACAACGATTCAGGCACGGTGACTCTCTTAAGCGTGTCTCATAAACGCAAAACATTCATACGTTGTGCACTTGTTAAGAAATTAATCCCGTTTTTGAACAAAGCTTTGGTCTCAAAATACTTTCTGGCCAAGTATCCTTGCTTTCTATCAAAGTTTTCTAGTAACTCGCTAGTATATCAAGAATGAGGTAACATAATGACCCCCCTCACCATTGACACGACTTATGTTCAGCTTAGCCGAGGCCCGAGTCATAAAAAACCTTAAAGAAGGTTTTTCACTTCTGATTCGATGGATATACACTTTTAGGAGTCTGTTAATTGAAATGGAAACTAAAGAAATTAAACTATATTCAGAAAACCTGATATAAATTATGGCTGGAAAAAGAAAAGTCAACTTCAAGCAGCTTTACGACGATAAAGATAATTTTAAATACAAGTCTTCGTTTCCTAAAAGTACTGTTAATAAAATCCTTCTCCTTTCACAAATTTTTTAACACATTATTACGCAATTATCTGACAGTAAAGTACAGTAAACAACGATTTAATCGTGGTAGATCTGTTGCACGCATCTTAAAAATCAAGGAACACGCAAGTTCTGCACTTTCTAATAAATTTAGCCCTTCTTTGAATAAAACTATGGTCTCCAAATACTTTCGGATCACGTTGGCCTTTCTTTTTATCCACGGCCTCTGTCAGTGCAAACTTCCCGTCCAGTTAGATCGCGACTTTTTTATTTCCTGTCTAATTGGCGTACACCATTAAGCGCTTAAAATATTTAAATAAAAATTAAATAATTTAAGTGATACTCGATTCGAAAAAAAAACTGACCGGTTACTTTTCAAGCGAAAAAATTATCTTTAGAGTTAAGGGTGGTTTGATTCCCAAATTTTAAACGTGAAACGAATTAAGGCTGAAGAATGAAAACTGAACTTAGAGTAGGTTTGCAATGCTAAGTATGTGTTCATTTCCTAAAGCTATGGTTAAAAAGAGAAATTAGTTACGAAATCCTTCACCTGTTAAAAAAAATTCAATACATCGCCGCGCAGTTTTCTGGTCGTAAAGTCTAATACACAACGATTCAAGCATGGTGAGCCTCGTGCACGCTTCTCATAAACGCATAACATTCATTTTTTGCGCCCCTAAAGAAATTCAGCCCTTTTCTGAATGAAGCCTGGTCTCAAAATATTTTCTGGCCAGGTTTGCCCTGATTTCTACCCAAGCTTCCTATTAGCTCGCAAGCATATCATTTTATGACCGGGATGGTACTGTAACGTTACCAAAGAAAAAAACCAGAAACAAATACAAAGAGCTTGCAATTTCTTGCAACGTTTTGCTTAACAAGAAAAAAATTTGAACAGCCATAAAACTTTCAAACTCTGACTAAACTCCTCATAACATAACCCATTTATACTTCTAACTTACCCATCTTTCCTCGTTGAAAAAAGCTCTGCTTCGTACACGCATAAAAGAAACAAGGGAAACTTTCGTAGGGAATGGATTAGACCCAAGAAAATGGATAGAAAAACACAATGACAAATTTAGAGTACAGTAATATATACACCGCATTTTCTCTTCTTTAATGACCACCCTAAGGATATATGGTTGAAACTGCTTTTAAGACTACTACATTCTGCTACAAATTTAATGAAATTTAAAATCTTACTCTCAGACTCTGACTTTACTCTTTAAAACATGTACAATTTATCCTTCTAACGTACCCATTTTTCCTTCTTGACATCAGCTCCGTTCTCTATGAGCAACCTTACAATATCAGTGTGACCATTT